CATAAAAACACTGCAGGATTTCTCAAACATGCATGAATGAGTCAGAGCAAAGCTTTGATGTTTTTTATGATAGTATAACATTATAACATGATATAAAACTCAAAAGAGTTAATTTTACATGATATTGTCCCTTTAATTGCGTGGACGGTTGGATGTGTTTGTGAAGGACCACGACGTGGCCGAGGATAAGATCTTCCTGCTGTCGCTGCTGATGGCGGAGATGGGCGTGCACTCAGTGGCGTACGCTTTCCCCAAAGTGCGCATCATCAGCACCGCCGTGGACAAGGAGGTCAACGAGCAGTTCCACATCATCCCGGGGATCGGTGAGCTGCGTCGGCTGCGAGAACAAACGCCCAACAAGTTCAGGAAAAACCTGTTTGAGTCAACGACCGGCTCGGGTTTCTCTTTGTCTTTCTTCAGGTAATTTTGGAGATCGCTACTTCGGCACCGACGCTCCGTCAGACTGGTGTGAAAGTGACGAAGGCATGGACCTCTGAGGAGGAAGAGGAGCAGAGATTATCAGAAAGAGTCCCTTCAGACCAGCGAGGAGACCCTGGATTAACGTCTACCTTTGAGTCCTCCTGACGGAAACATCCTGCAGGATGTTTGTCGGCTCTGAAAGCTTTTGTCACGCAGTCTGACGCAAACTCACTTCCAAATTATCTACCTTTTTTTAAAAAAAGAGAAAAAAAAGGCGAAATCCTAAACTACATAATCCAGATTATTATTTATAAACTTTCCTCTGATGCTTTTGATGAATTTATTTRCTATCAATTTACTGGAGGAGTCTTAAATTCCCTCCAGGTTTTTTTTTTTTTAATTTTGCACAGAAAGTCTCTTCAGGCCAGATATTCTAGATTAAATTATTTGTTTAAATCCAGCGGGAAAGTCACTCACAAAAATCTGATTAAATTTACGCTTCATTTTATATTAATCCCAGTAGATGGCAAATGTGATAATCTTTTGTTTTGCACAAAAATGTTGCGTAAAATTTTTGCAACTCTTCAGTTTGCTCCACAGTTGTGCATTATTATAATTTATTAATCCCAGGTGGGATTATGTTTCTCAGCAAGTTGTTGTTTTTCTGCGATTAAATTGAAACGTTATTGTCTCAGGCAACTTTCACCAAAAGGGACAACAATAATAAAATACTTGAATATAACTGACTAATCATGTCAAATATCTTAAATTATGTACCGGTATTTTTATTCCTATTTTATCCCTTTTTTATAACAATCTTTGATTTTTCTCCCCTCAGTTCTTAAAGCATAAACTTTACATGTAACAGTAAGAAACTAAACATCAAAACTCATTTTTATTTGTTTTTAATTATTTCCCACAACATCTCAGCTGATTTAAATTTGGGGTTTTGTAAAAGAAATGCTCAGATTATGTTTGGAAACTATTTGCTGCTTGAAAAAGAAAATAATAGTATAGTTCTTCTGGACGGGTTCTTCTCTAATGAAACGTTTCGTCTCTCCTCCAAGAG